CATCAAGGTATAATATAACTTTAAAAAAAAAATCATAAAAGTCACATGAAAATGCGAGCATAATAACAAATCTTTTCATTTTGAAAAGAAAAAGTAAGCAACACCATCACTTGCATTTTGAAAACATTTTCATCAGCACTAGTGAAACTTAAATGTTAAAAGTTTAAACACTTAGCTCCTGTTCTCTAACAAATACACAGGGGTAATAATTGCATCCCTCTTGTGTCTCTTATTCACCCAGATACAATTCCTCAATTAAAACTGAAATTAAATCCTAGATAGCAGTAACAGTGGAACCCCAGTTACATAAACTTAATGCAACTATTATTAAGTGGTCTTCCTTTTATATTACTATAAACAGTTTTTTTCTTCAGCTACAGAATATCCTATTACCCACAGACAAATTGCTGTAAGCCCACCTACAGCTACAGGCTCAGCAGGAAGCACATTTAATAGCTACCAATTATATTTATGCAAGAAATTTTGCCTTCTCAGCAAAAGGAAAAGAGAACCCATTTTATTAAGAGATGTGACAAACCCACATTTTCAACAGTTCTGCGACAAACACGTCTTGGTATCTGCTGACCACAGAATAAATGAAAAAATGCCATCTGAGCAGCAAAATACAGTTTTGCCACTATAGAAGAACAACTGGGAAAGACCAGCAGGAGCGAATGGAAAGTAACACAAGGATGACCGGGAAAGGACATGCAGTCAGCATGTTCTGGGGCTGCATAAAGCTGCCCCCAGCGTACACTTCACATCATAGTTAGACACCAGTGATTCCAGCTTTCTTCTCTTTTCCTTCAGAAATATTATTTAAGAAAAATAACACTTATTTTACATAACATGTGATCTTTAATATCAATACACTGTAAAAGTATTTTTTAAGCATCTGAGCAACTGCCAAAGAACTACAATATTTGAAAAATATAATATATGTCTATTTTGGATTACATTCTGTAAGTTTAGCAAAAATACAGTAAAAATATCCCAGTAGGTCTGCAGTCAGTTTGACTGGCACGCCCATTAGTTAAACAAGCTAAGAAGCCTTTTAAATTTGAAGTCTTCAGGGCCTTTGCAAAATGCAACTGCTTTTTTTCAGAAGGTTTTATCTGTACAGTAGATCATTTCCCAAGGCAAGGCCCAAAGATTAAAAGTGGTAATATAAAGAAAAGAGAAGCAAAACTCCTAATAAAGTCTAATTCTGAAATTCTTGCTTCAGCTGGGTAACATGATCCTGCATAACAGGAGTCATCTGTGACTGTTTGGGAAGTTAGGATAAGTTAGAAAAGATTTTAAAGCTTTGTTCATTACTCAGTACTTGAAATTTTAAGTTGTCTTTGTGGTACTGAGCATGTTTACCAAAGTAGTAGTATTAACCTTGTTAACACAAGAAGACTGAAAGCAATAAGTTCTCCAGTGAACGTTCAAGGCAGTATAAAGAAAGGAAACAGTTAATTAACTCTAACCCTTAGACCATCTACAGGGAGGATGTGGTGATCAGTTTAAGCAAAACACTTCAAATGTTAGCAAACAGTAAATTTTCACCACGTGACATAAGTCATGAGACTTCTCTATTTTCTTGTGATCTCCAGCAAGCTTAACCACTACATTAGACCTCTCTCACATACAACCTCATAAATATGTGTATAAATTTGTCCAAACTATGTCTAAGAAATAACTGAGCAGTTGTTGACACCATATTAAAGCAAAAACTTTCAAGCACGCATTTTCCCACCTAGCTCCAAATCAAGAATTACAGTACAGTTACACAACACCAGCACTGGTACTGAACTGGAGATCAGCTGCCAAGTTTTCACAGGAAAAGATCCTCCACAGTGGGTTGATAACCACATGCACAAACCAGCTAAATTCTCTCATCAACTGTACCTGAATATTTTTAGGGGTGGAAGGAGGGGAAAATCTGTTTAGAATGGCACATCCATGTACTCTAAGAGCGATCTCTTATCACCCACCTAGTCTCAATGAGGTAAGCAGTGTATGTTTCTTGTATGTTCATGGCATTCCTCCCAGTCCGTTTTTCAGCTTCTGAAACAGTGATTTCCATTTTCTTTGCCAAACAGTCTTCCATCTTTTTAGAAGAGGAAAATAAAGATTCATGCAACATTAACCACACAAGGCAAAGGCTACTAACCCTGCCTCCCCTTCTCCCACACCACATTTGTTCAAATAAGACAGGTCTCTGTGGGATAAAGGCTTTGACAGGACTTCGTTTTATACCTATGTTCTCTATCACATTTGCAAGCAAAAACAGAACACCTGCTTTGGGGAGAAAAGAGCAAAGTCAACAAACTGACAACTTCAGGTACCAAAAATCACCATGAGCCAGGAAAATACAGAATGGAAAAGCATTTTTCTTTACAGGTAACAAACTAACCTTTTTAAAAACAAACACCAGTACTTTCTATCCAAACACTTCCCAACTACTGGCGAATTCCTCCTCAGGACACCCGGGACGTGTAACCACCTCTCCCCTTTCACAGGAAACACAACACATCCGGACCGAGATGTTTTAATCTCTTAGAGGAGGTTCGTTATCTTTTACACATTTGCGGCCAGGAACCAGTCAGGACCACATGCCCACCCTGAAAAGGCAGAGCTTCACTGAGCAGGAAGAGGGGATTCATTTGTGAAATTAAGGGGGAGGGGGAGACAAAAAAAGGTAACTGATAATAATCAGTAATAATCTAACACTAGGGACGAGGACAGAGGGTGCACAAAGCTCTCCGACAAGAGACCAGACCGGCTCTGGAAGCAGAGCCGCTCAGCTCAGAGGGTCGGGCTACACAGCTCTGCCGGGCAGGGCTCGGCCCCGGGCAGGCGGACGAAGGGCTCGTCCCACCTGTAGCCCCTTCCCGCGGCGGCGGGCAGCGCTGGGCACCGCCCGGCCCGGCCTCCCCGCGCCCCGCCGCCCCCCCGCCCGGCCCGGGCAGCGCGCTCAGGAAAGGCCGGTGCTCGCCCCGGCCGAGCAGGCCCCGGGCCCGGGGCGGAGAACACCGCCCCTCCGCCGCCGCCCCCCTCACCCTCACCGCGGCCGCGGGCTGCTCCGGGGGCGGCAGGGCGCCGTCCTCCTCTTCTTCGTCCTCCTCCTCCTCGTCGTCGTCCTCCTCCTCCTCGGGGCGGCTGCCACTCGGCTCGGGCTCGGCGCTCTCCATGGGGCTCGGGGGCTCGGCCGCGCTGCGCGCAGGCGCTGAGCCCGGCTCCGGGCAAACCCATGGCCGGTCCTAGAGCCGGGCCGGGCCGGGGTGTGTCCGCGGGGCCGGCCCCGCCGTGCCCACCGACACGCTCGGTCCGCCCTGCTGCCCGCAAGGGGCTCGGTAGTGCCCCTGTGCACCGGCAGCCCCCGCTGTGACCGTGCTCCGCAGCCCTGAGCCTCCCGTCCGGGACGGGGACAGAGCTTCCCCCTTGACCGCCCGCCCTCGGTCGTACAGCTGTCAGCGTTCATTTCCAAGCTCTGTTTGTGGTGGTGTGCCTCTCTCTCTAGTTCTCAGGTCACCCAAGAGTTTCTCACGCCTTTCCCGCTTGGATTTTTTGGCAGCCTGTGTTGTTCTAGCAAATAGCACACCTTAAACAAAATAAAACAAACAAACAAATATATATATATATATATATACCATATTAGTAGGAAATATTTCAGATATTTTCCTGTCTTTCGTCTGTAGCAGGAGTTGTCACTTTTCTTTACACAGCCTCTTTCATCAGCCAATAACTTTCCCACAGGATGTTTGTTAGCATTAGGCAGCTCGGGTTATTTTTTTAAAGCCCACCAGCCCGCTATTTCCCCACTCTCAGTCCTTTACTAGTAGAGAAGGACTCAGTCGTGTTGTATTCCTTACTCTACCGGATGCCCAGCCTTTTCCATCAGCTCCCTCCCGGCGATGACATGACACCCAGAAGGGCATTCTCCTGCTCAGCATCTCTGCTGGTTGACACCCAAGCATGTCCCACCCGGCCAGGCTTCCCCAGGAAGGACCTGAGTGGTTAAAATCTGCCGAGTTCAGCTCTGGGGAAGCCTCTGTCATTACTTATTAAAAGCTCCAGCCGTCTTGTCTCTTCTCGTTAAGCAGGAACAAACCTTCTTGTGCATTTCTGTCATTCCTAGCCTGTGTTTTTGGAGAAATATACAGCAAGTCCATCCAGGAGCTCCTACAGAACATCAGTTAATGTATCACAGACTATACATAAATACACCTTCATTACTGCAGCCTTTGGGTTTATTCCCTCATGATCCCGTGGTACCTACACAGTCCTTGTGGGGCTGGCAAACTGGATGAAGAGATTGTTCCTATTTATTCCTCGTACTCCAAACACCATTTTGGACACTCAGGAACAGCACCCTTGTTCCCTGGTTTACATATCACATCATTTCCTTGAGACTTCCCATTTTTGCACCAGATTCATGTCCTTTGATTCAGCATTGCATTCTTTATTATTCTCATGTAGCTTTTTTCTTTTCCTGTCCTTTTCTAACCCAGGTTAAAGGCCACCTCAGGGGATTACAGAGTTGATACTATGTGTTTCTTTGCTTTGCTTTTTTTCTGTTTTGCGTAGGAAACGGGTTTTTTTCAGTGTTGACCAGAGCTGAATTTGCATACATTTTTCATCCAAAATTTAATCTTTTTCTTTCAACAACAATTAAAATAAATCTCAAAATCCCCTTTGAAGACCCCATGAATTAATATTTGGCGTCTGGTTTCTATTCTGTTGTCTTCAATGTTTATTCAACTTTTTCCTCAGATTGTTTGAACAGATACCTCAATCTGTCCTTTCCCACCCCTCCACCACTGTAGCTGGATGGAGTTTCCCAAGCTTTTCCACAAAAGGCTTTCCTAAAACAAAAGTTTTTTACAAGTATGTGAACTGTGATTTGTCCTCTGAATAGGACTGATTTAAGATTATTTTTCTAAACACAAAGTCCAGTTTAGATGTAAAGGCACGATTGCACTTTGTAAGGCACAGTCTGTTTTCCATTAGGGTATGGTTTTCTTATGTTTACTCAAGATGTGCATTAAGATACATACCTTGTATCAATTACACTTGCATTTGCAGCATGCACATACTGAATTTTTTCTGATCCGTTATCAGTGATATGATGGAAATATTTATGTGAAGCTCATGCAGGATATTGTACTTCGTACTAAATGTTGTTATTATGGAAACAACATTATCAATAAAGTACAGTAATATTTTGTGGGTCTAACATTCCATGATTTCAAAAACTATTTTCACCTTTGAATTTTCTTCACAGTAGTAAAAGTTGCGGAGAAGAGTTAAAACACTATGGATATAGAAGGAGGATAGGGATAGAACTTGCCCAAATTAAGTTGACCAGCAGCCTAGGCAGCCCTCATGTACATTATAGCCTGGGAAGCTTCATATGAGAGTGAGATCTCCTGAGAAACTAGTGTGCAATGGAGAGGTCTTCAATAAGCACCAAAGTCTCCATCAAAATGCTCTTCCTCAGCCATATTTTCCTACCTCAGCCTGCAAAATGGGCTAACAGCATTTTCTCATGGCACAGTACTGCACTCAGAACTTCCAGGACTTGTGCTACTTTGGTCAAAATAAGCTTTAATGTTTCCTGCCTAAGCTAGGCACAACCACAGCCAGGGCCTCTTTGGATCCTCTCTTGTCAAGATGTGAGTCCAGTTTCCTGCAGGTCACTCTACCCAGGACACTCTACTGCTCATCAGCAACTTCACTAGGCAGCATGATCTTTGTTCTTCAACCTAGAGCAGGCAAACTCAACTTCCTACTTACAAGTCCCTTCAGTCTCTGAAGCTGTCCCGACTACCATCACAGCCTCTGGAAAACAGGGAGTTCCATCTTTTTCCATCCTTAGGTCTGTCCTTTTTAATTCTACTGTTACTCTGGATAAACTGCTTTTTGACAGAAGAAAGCTAAGCAAGGTATATTACCTTATAAATTAGCTTCCTAGCGCTTTTTGTAAGGTTATGTGTGTTACCTTTCCTTGGATCTTTTGACAGCCTGTGAGCTCTAGCAAATAACACACCTTAAACAAAACAAAACAAAAAAAGAACAACAAAAAACCAAAACAAAAACAAACAAACAAACAAACAAAAGCCATATTAATGGGAAATATTTCACAACAACTTTGTCACAACACTATTTATCAGTATCTTCATTTAGAGTTCCTCATCACTTCAACCTCTCAGAAGTAGTTAAAATTAAAAGATAACACAACTACCATCAACAACCATCACTTTGCTACTGAGAACTTAAATGAAAACACCTAAAGCAGCGGCTCTGCTTTGCATCTCTCCTGCAACACCCGCAGCCTTTCAGTAACCTTAGGAAAAGAGAGTAAACCAGCCAATATTCCTGCTGACGAGAGAAGCGTATCCTGTGCAGTGTCTGGCTGTGCCGGTGCATGAAAGCGATGGGGCACAGAGTAGATTCATGGAGCAACACAGCTGGAGCTGAGGACCCACCATCTGCACCACACATATTTTAGCTGATGATTTTTAGGGTGCCTCTAGTCCACCCCCAGGGATTGGCCACCCTTCACACCTTCCAGTTTGCCTGCTACCAGAAAAAAATTCAGAGTGTGCCCTGCCTTAAGCCTGCCTTGTAGCATAAGCCAAAGCAGGAGGGTCAAGAGTTTTTCTGCAAAAGCACATTCCTGATCCATGGTTCAGGCTCCTGGATCCTATCATAGTTTTACTACCAATAATAATAGTACAAAGATCGTGAATCAGGCTGTCAAACTGCTCCTACAGGCTAATTCCTCCAGAACCAAAGGTGTTTGCTATCTGGAGGTGTCTGGCAGCTGAAGTGATGCCTGCTTGTGCTCTTGGTCTTCAAAGGCTGATCCTCACTGAAGACCCTGGCATCTGTCTGCGTATGATGTCCTTGGTATGATGGATGCAGCAGAAAACAGTGCTTGCTTAGGATCCTTAAGAAAACACTGAAGAGGAGTGAACGTCAAGGAACTGTCACTAAAATGAAGGAGTAGCTGCTTCAGCATGGAATACTGCAGGACGAAAAGTAGGTGAGTTCAGGCTCCTCATAGACATATTTCTAGCATCTAAATATCTGTGTGAAATGATCACTAAACAGCAGGAAAATCAAAATTTTTTCAGAAGAAGAAAAGCTCATGGAAAGATAAGCAGAGAGTGGAAAAGAGATATGGGTGCAGAAAATCACTCAATTCCACTCAGTCTGAAATTGGTAGCAGTGGTTTCCATCCATTTCAGCTACAGCAGATCTGGTTCCACAAATCACACACAAAGGCCCAAACTAATACCCATTTTTGAAAGAATCTGTGCTAACACATTGATAGTATGAATGAAAACTTAATGAAAGTGGCTTCAAAAGTATCTTGAAGTGAGCTGTGAGAAAAACTCAAAAACTTCAGAGGAAGAAAGCCAGAAGATTTGGGACAGAACTGAAGAGAAAAAAACCAGCAAACCAACTCAGTGACATTGTGAATTACAGAGGTGTTAAACCTTTACTTAATCTTGGTGCATCATTGATCAAGGAACCTGTTGCACGCAATCTGTGAGAAGTCAGAAGTTAGGCCAGTGTTTCTGGCTTATGCAAAGACTCCAGTGAAAGTCAGGCATCACAGAAAGTGCAATTATCCTTCATGGCTACCAAAATGAGCATTAGCTGAGAGGCAGGAGCATGGAGAAGTTGAGGGCTGAGGAGAATTGGTTGAGGCAATGCAGACAAGGCCAGAGGAGTTGCGGCCATGTCCCTCAGGATGCAGTGCTGGCTTTGACTGCTCATACTCCTCTTGCTATCTGGGTCATCAAAGGTTACCACACCATCGCTGGGACAGGCTGTAGCAAGAGAATGGAAAATGCTAAAGGTATTTTTCATGGTATTTTTCCTTAGGTTAAAGCAGGATGGAGGTGGTGGCTGGATTGGATCTACCCAGCAGGATGCACATCTTTCTCAGGCAACTGTTGCTGATGGCACAGTGAAACCAAGGTCATGCTTATACAGTGCAGAAGTGATGACATTTCCGGGGTTTAATTAACTGCCAGGACAACTTGGGGGTAGTTCAATATGATCACACAATAAATGCACATACATTAAGCGTATGGATTTGTGCTCACTGGTAGAAGCTAAGTCCCTATCCTATCAGGTAGCCGTTTTCATTAGACCCGTCTTTTAATTCTTCAAAGTATAAAATTAATTCTCCTCACAACAAAACCACTCATGGAACTCATCTAAAGCCCAACATAACTACTGATATAAACAGATTAAAAGAGAACAGTGCTTAAGCAACAGATATTAGTCCAGTCGTATAATGTGCAGGAAATCAAGAGGGCCAAGGGAAAATCTCCTGATTGCACAAGTAAACCCAACACTTTTTGCTGTAGTCAGTCATTTTAAACTCAGTGCCCCTGCTATGATCTCTGGGGTCTAGAGGGCAAGGAGGAGGTCCGGGGAAGCTTGGGAGCATTGGCCCTTGCATTACCACTGTCTTGGGCATGGTTACGTGGTTCCTTTCTCTCCCTTCACATTCCTATCACATGAAGGTGATCTTCACCCCTGGGAAGCATAATAAGTTTGACTCATCTGGGTCTGGCACACATCCATTGTGACATTACCCTGCACAGAGGTATTTAGTGCTCATGTTGGAGCTTCAGAACTCTTACTCGATTGCTGAGCCTTGCCTCCCACGGTGGAAACCCAGGCTGTTTGCAACCTTCCTTTAAATATATGTTATATTGTTTCAGGTGTCCACAGTCTTATTTAACTTCTCTAGTAAATATCTTCCAGCTCCTAAACGAGAACTTTGGGAAAACTTCTCCCACAATGCAACTTAAAAATCACCCTGCAGAGACCTTACGTTCCTCAGCTTAAATCCAGCCTTCAGTGTGCCTTGAGTTATGAGGCTATCCAGATCACTAATAGAGAAGCAGGGGAATTTACACCAAAAGGAATAAACAAGCCAACAATAAAAATAACCATTTATCTCTTCTTCCTCCCCAGTGCCTTACTCAAAAGTTCACTGTGTTCTTTCGTGGAACCAAAGCTCTATAATGTGAGTTTAGATACTTTAGGTTCTTACTCACTTTCCCCGAGTAACTTTGGTGGATTTTTAGTTTGAATTTTTTCCTTGCATAAGAATCTAAGAAATAACCAGGATTTCCAGAACAGAGCTGTTAGTCAGAGAAAAGCCCAGGTCAGTGGGGCACGTGCTGCGGGACTCCCCACTTAACTTGGCATGACTCATGGCATAGTGCTAGGAAAGGAACAAGCTCCCTTTGCTCCTATTTTGCAGATGAGGTTTGCTTACAGTAGCCTCAGCTCAGTGGACTGAAAAGGCAGGTTACAGGAGGGTATATCTAGCTCTGTGCAGTCTTACACAGAGGCTGAACAGACAGGTTACCCCTGTGCAGAAAGCAGCCTGCAGAGCCCAGTGTTCAGTTTAGGACAGCAAACCCCTGCCCATGTCATCATGGCACCATGTTTTACCAACCAGCAGACCTAACACCATCTAGAAATAAGTACAACTGTTTGGAAAGAGCGGGACATGCACTGCTTCCCAAAAGCTTCCCCCTGCACAGCTTCCTGTAGAAACTCCACTGTCTTGTAAAGGTGTCCTTGCATGGGACATCTACTGCCTTTGTTCTCATTTCATGGAGGACTGGCCCCAAATCTCGCCCTAAGATTATGCTGCAGAAAGGATGAAGCATTTTACAGGGTTCAGTTTGGCCCAGAAGTTATTTGGGATTGCCTGGAATTTTGGAAACTGCAGCTCCCACAGCTCAGGGTCCCTGGCTGCAGTGACATTGTGCAGGCTTCCTGCTGCCTTCCCAAGTTTTGCTGCTAAAAAAAATAATACCCCATGCTTCCCTAGAAGTTCCAAATCATACAGCGTGTTTTGTCAATGTCCACCATTGTTTAAAGCCCCTCTGGGCTCCTGCTGGGGACATTATTCCTCTCCAAGTTTTATAGGCAGTGGGGGATTCTTCCTGATTTTAAAGAGGGCTCTCATGGATCATGAATAATCTGTGACATTGCTAACACAAGCCTTATCCAGTTGTCTTAATAACAACATCTCTTTCTCTGCCACACTCGAATACATTGATCTGAAGGATTGGAGTAGATCATAGGGCAAGAGTTTGAGGATTTTACTCTTCCTTTTGCCACTGATTGATTGTGTTAACAACCAAGGCAAGACAGAACTCTGCTACATTTCACAGTTTCCCTTTTGTAAGTGGGATAATATTTCTTACAAGTTTTGTAGAGCAGTTTGGATCTTGGGGAAAAATGCTCTATGTTGTTATTTTAGGCCCTGCTTCAGGAAAGCATATATGCTTAAATCCTGCTGCTTTAATGGGTTGAAAGCACCTACTTTAGGCTAAGCTCATATTGATGCGGTCTTTCTGAAAAAGCTGCCCTAAAACTTCTAATTACCTTTGTTAAAAATGTAGCCCATTGAAGCTTACTTAAAAGATAATTTCTAAAAGAGAGGGGAAAAGTAGTGAATTAACTGCAGCTCAGCATATTGAAGCATTACCTTTCATGCTTTATTCAGATGAAAGAGTCGTGCAGGAGTACCCATACCTTTTTGATTAGATGCACACAGCAGATTTTAGGTCCCCTTCAAAGATCCTTGGGCCGTGTGGAGCCAGGAGCAACTCCGCACTGTCATCAGAAAAAAAAAAATCAAACTCTTTTTCTCAGAGCCTGACTCCTTCGCCCAGCTCCCCCCTCCCATATTTGTATATATTTCGAGAGGAGAGTCAGACTTAGTTTGTTCATAAACTGCAGTTCCTGGGCGGACCCCACGCACAGCTGGGCTTTAGCGGCTGGATCCGCCTTCCCGGCAAGGCTGGCTGGGAGCCTCGCAAACTTGGAGCTCCGGGCTTGACAGCAGAATCGCAGGAGACTGGCTCCACCGAGGGAAGATGAATTGGTCAAAGCTGTGAAACCGGGTTTCTTGTTGCTAGTGGGATCCAGAAATGGGTTACCGAAGGAGTCCGAGTCTGCTTCCCTTACTGCTGCTCTCCTTCTGTGAGTAGAAAAATGTTTCTGGTTAGGCAATGTTAAGCAACATACTCTGAGAAGTCGTTTATTTTTCCTTCCCCCAGCAAAACAGCTAATCTTTGATTTCTCCCCTGACAGCAATTAGCCAGAGGATTGGAAATAGCTGAGAGTTTAGTAGAATACGCTGCTGCAACTGCATCAGCTGCATATTGCTCTTATGGCGAAGGGCGAGCGATCTCTTCGTGGAAAGTGCTGCGTGCTCGCTTGGAGCAGCTCGCAGATGTCAGTGTTTACAGTGCAAAAATATATATAGGTCAGCATTACTTGTTGGAAGTTTTTATTTTATTGTGGGAGATTAAAAGCAACTGAAGTGCACGGCTGAACGACCTGGCTTCGACAGTGTCCAGATGTGGTGAAGTTTTCAGCTTAGAACTTTTATCAGCCGTGGTTTATGCGCGGAATTAATCGAACTATTAAAGAAGGGAAGAAGTGGAGAGAGGGGGAGGAGAAGTGTCTTTGCAACAACATCTGGTTATTCGGCAAACCTTTCCAGCACTTACGTAAAGATTTCTTTGTAATAAGTGCCCTGTTTCAGTTTTGATAGCACTTCTTCAATACCGGAGATAAAACCCTCCAACAGCACTTGAAAATGTGCCCATCCGTGGTTTAGCTTTTCTTGTTTATATCTTGATGATTGTTTCATAACAGGGAATGGATTTGTGTATAAGTGAGTGTTATATACACATCTTCTAAGTATGTGTGTGTGTCTTTCTGTATATACAGAGCCTATGTATGTGTATACATGCATATATCCCTATATAGTGTATATTTATATGTTTGCATGGACACTGACACTTTTTAAAGTGAACTCTGACAAAGACAGACCCATTCCCCTTGCTATAGAAATTTCCATGCAACTAGAATAGCTTTTTTCTCAAAGCAATGAAGTAGGAGGATTACAACACCAGTATTTCTGCATCCAAATGAAATAACTGGGGGCAGGGATCTGTATCTGTATTCACTTTACATGGGTCCCCCTATCTACAAGAACAGGGAATAAAAGAATGATTGGTCAGTAATTTGTGTGTAGGCAAACACAACCCTGGGGGCAACTGTTGAAGCAGAGAGAACCACATGGGGAGATTTAGGACACAAAATCTGGTTGATTTTTCAAAAAGTTATGGAGATATATAGTACTCATTATTGTAGATAATACCCTAAAGTATGGTTTGAAATGTAGGATGCTATACCGATAACATCTTGCTAACTTAATTGCATTTGGAGCAGAAATTACTACAAGGTATTATTTAAAGCACAGTCCTGGGTTGTTTTTGGTAAGAAAGAAGACCACTAATTATCCTTCAGAAATACCTAATTTTGGAGTTATTTAACTTACTGTTTCCTTTTTCTGAAAGGCAAGGTTTTAATCTGAAAGAAGCCAAACCAAAACATATCATGATTACTAAGTTCATCTGAAAGGTTATGTGAGTGATATGATGACAAAATTTGCCTCTGCACAGAGAAAAAAAAATAAGCCAAGGCTTGCTCTCTGTGATTCAGCTAATCAATGATAGATGTTTTTGGAGACTACATCCACTTCCCTTGCATTTAGTGATAAGATTGACCCTGCAGCCATTCTGAGACAATAAAAGTACCCTGGGAGCCCACTTTGCATTGACATTAAAAGAGAAGGGAACAGCAAGTTCCCCAAGTAGACAGAATATACACATTCAGCTGTTCTTCAAGCAACAAATCTTACCACTCATCCAGCCTCTCTTTTAAGAGTGACAGTGCTAACCTGGTGACAGCAGCAAACTTGCTCCTCTTAGCACAGAGATTTAAGACTTGCCACAGAGAACTTGGCTCAGACTCCAGCTGAGCATCTTTAGGGATTTTGCTGCTCTCCCTAGGAGTTTACACCAGGGCAGCAGAGACTCCAGTCTGTGCTTCATGATGCCTGTCTCTGTGCCTTGAATCACTAGCATGGTGAAGTGGCCATCACACAGCACCTCTGGCCACTTTTGTCCATATACAATGGAATAAAGGGCTGTAGTCTGACAGACCTCTGTAATTCCCTAATTCTCCCTGGCCAGCCCTAGCAAAGCTTCAAAATATCCACCCTTAAACTTCTCCCCAGTGGCAGTGGCTGCTGGAGGGCAGCATTTTTGCATGACTTTCTCAGCAGAAGGGGCAGACAGGAGCTGTAGTTGCACTGCTGCTGACACAAACCCTCATGCAGGTGAGCAGACAATCCTTCCAAGGCAGGCCTGGACTTACCTGGCCTGGGACAAAACAAGAAGAGGACTTCCTCTTCTATGGAGCAGTGGAAAAACAAGATGTAGACACTGGAAGCTAAAATGGGGTGCATTTGTGTTAGAGCATAACACAGTAAAGTTGTTCCAGCAAGTAATTACTCAGGCTGGGGACATGGTGGATTGTTGCTCAAAGCCTTCAAGACTGCAGGACTATCTGCTTGGAACTATAACCCATACAGAAGCTACAGAGCTGAAATCAGGATTACTGTATTGTGCACATGGAAACACTCTGGCCTTAAAGTTAATAATTAGGAGTTTTCCTGCCCTGTTTCGTATCAGCATTGGAAAAGTCTCCCTTGTGCTCCATCTGTTAGGAACAGGGCTCACATCTGGCCAAGCAGGCATGGGACTGAACAGAGTCTCATCTCACAGAGAGGACAACAAAGCTCAACAACCCTCTGACCTGTGGAGGCAACCTCAAGAGTGTGAACTAAGTATCACTGGTGTGACAACAGCTCTCAGGGTGTGAAGAGCCCCAGCAGAGTGTCTTTGGACATCCAATCTCCAAAAGAGGAGATGAAACTCAAAATCTGGCAGGGCACGTAGCACTTCCAGAGTGAGAAGCCTCTCTTCCACAGGGAGAGAGAGCTGTACCCCATGGGATCTGCTGAAGCTCCAAAGTAAGAGAAAGGAGATTTTTGAAATGAGGGGATGTTGCAAGTCTGCTGCCCCAAGTCCAGATCTCCCAGTTTCTGGGGTTTGAGTCTGGTTCCCTACAACTCAGCCTCCTATTAAAATGCTGGTCCACTAAAATATCCTAACATTTTTGCTTAGTCTCCCAGGCTCCCTTTGTCATGGTCCCTCATTGATTGAAGTTTGATGGCTCCACAGAGGGTGCATTTGAGGGTTATCTCCTGGTAGATGGTGGCTCTCTGAAGCCATATGCTCTTTCCTGCTTACACAAACTGTTCCCCCAGTGAGCCTCTTCAGCTAAATATATAGAGCGTATATAATTCATAAATCAGGACAGGGAGCTCCAGGGCTGTCAGAAAAACATCTCTGGCTTTTGATCTGCCCAAGAAATCTCTGACCTATCCCAGGCTCCTTAGGCAGCTTGTTCAAGAAGTTGGCCTCCTATTTCTGAGGTCAGCAGAGTTAAACCAGGGGTTGTAGTGCCACCAAAATGCCAGCCCACTCCTCGGGCAGGGGAGCCATTGGGATTGCACACCAACACCAACGTATGCACAATTCAGGAACACGGGGTCAAATGTGAGCTGGTGAGAGGACAGGAGAAGAAATAGGACAAAGGAGGAGTCACCCTCCACTTCACAGGCAAATACATCCTTTTGCAGAAAGGGGCTTTGCAGGTCCAAGGCTGAGCCAGGGCAGCTGAGCAAACCTCTTCTCCCAGACTATGCAGTGTGTGGGTGTGGGTGCTGCCTACTCCAGGACACAGGACTGCAGGGTTGGTAGTTATAGTCCTTCTCAAGTAGCACCATGTTTTGCTTTAGTGTTGATTTAAGCCAGCCAAAACACCAAGGAAGAAATTATCCCCTCAAAACAAACCAAGGGGCTGCAAAGGCCCCACGTTGGCTGGGCGTAAGTAGCTCAGCTGGGAGCAGGCAGAGCATCCCGCTGCCTGAAGGAGAAACTTGTGTGTCCTACCATGAGGCTAAATAAGAACAAAGCTGGAACAAATTCTCCAGTTAGGAAATGAAAGGGGAAAACACAATAAAAACCCTGACAATGCAGAACTGGAGTCCTCTGCAGTGTTGCAAGTGGCAAGAGATTCAGCAAGGAAAGCAATGGATTATTTTGAATTCAGATTTACACTTCTCTAAATCCAATACTACTGTTTCAGTCTCATGTAACTTAGATTAACTGAAGGTTAAGAGGACTGGCAGCTTACAGCTATGTCAGATTTATGAAAACTGGCATTTCCTCTCCCCTTGCACCTCCAGCTTTTCTCAGGCCTGAGGCAGGCTGGTCATCATTAAAGCTGCTCAAATCTGTGTTTTGGTGGGGGCTTTGTGGAGGAAAGTCCTTTTTGAAATATAATTCCATAACCCCCAAAACCTCTCCCAAACAGAAAAAACACAAACCAACAGTAAAACTGATGCTTACTGGTGTTTTACTGGTGTTATTGCTATTTAATAATGGTCACAAAGACATTTTTGTTTACTAATAGTAAATAAATTCAGCCAGCTGCAATCATGATACTTGTTACTCCCATTAGAGATGGAGTTCTGGGCAGTTGTATCCCACATATTCACTGAACATGCAGAAAGCAAGCACTGGCATTAAAAAGAGGTGACTGGGGGTTTTTATTCTGAGAAAATATTCAGCTCTACTGCCTATACTCCACAGCTTTATATTGTTCCGTGTTTTGCTCTGTCGAGTTTGTTTCCTCAGGACATTGTTTTCCTCTCCCCTTAGTGATAACTCTTTGCAATAACATTTGCTTTCTGCTGGGTTCCACAGTGTTGCAACTTGCCATAAACTAATGAACTCTCCCATAGATTGTCATGTTTTCAAGGAAGTGCAACATCTGATCTTTTTATTAAAAAAAAACAGTCCCACCAAGGAGACAAAATCAGCAGCTCCCACAC